CGCTCACCCTGAGCGCCGACCATCTGCCTAAGCTCGTCTACCTCAGCCTGTAAATCGCGGTTGGCATCCACCAACTGACGACGCTCGTAGTCCAGAGCATGCACTATATGGCTCGGGTAGGCGAAAGTCAACCTACACGGACATCGAGGGTATCTATCATACGGTGAGTAGCGTACTCGAGCTCCTCCCGCTAGAGCTCGGTAAAAGATAGTCCTAAGAGGCTCATAATGACCATTCGCATGGCCATTCCCGTTAGCTGTCGGGGCTCCATTTCCGTCATCCATCCCTGCAAAATAATAATACTTTTCAGGTTAGAAACTTAAATCACTACTCAGTTCCATCATCCTGCAATGCATGCGTAACTTAATCGTTGGTTCATCCCAATCGTCACTTGAGGTAGGACTAACTTAGTTGCTAGCTCGCCTCAATTATCACTTAGGGTAGGATTAAGTCATCCCGTATCGAGTCTTAAAGGTAGAGTATCTAATATGTCTCCCATATAGACCTCTAACCTAGTGCTCTGATACCAACTGTGACGCCCCACACCTCCCTAAGACGGACCAAAGGGTATCCGCGGACGCCTGCCCAACTCTCGCCAGGACTCACGCAAATCCATTCAATTTAAATCCGAACTAAATATTTCGAAGGGAGCAACATGAACACAAACAATGCGGAAGCATTCGAACTTACCAAGTCAATTAACATGTAACCAGTACATCGGGTAAACATAATACGACTTAAATTCAAAATACACGTCAGGGCCCAAACTTTTCAAATTTACAATTTCCAAAAGTACAACCCAAACCAGGGCCTAGTCAAAATATAGCAGGACTCTTAACAAAAGTACAACGAATGGTCTCTCCAAACTTCTCCAAGTTTCGGTCCTGTTAAAGAAAACAAAACTATAGGGTGAGCTAAACGCTCGTGAGGCCAAGAACACACATGCAAGCACTTTGTTCAAATAGCAATCCCAAATTTAATAAATAAAACCATGTCCCTTCAATAATCAATCATTAGAACAGGAAAAGTAATCAGAAATAATTCAAGGATATAGTAGCTCTCAGGAGCTAAGTTCCACTTGCTCTGCCGATGTCATTCGTATACCTTCCCGCGTTGACCCTCCTATCAACCGGGTCGGTATTTCCATTTCTGTAGATCACCACTTACTTCCCTTCGTCCACCGTACACCTCAAGGGCCCACAAGTCATGTATAAGGCGATATTCCACGAGTATGCCAAGCAAGACCTCTCATTAGGTCGAGTTCATATATATCTCATGGCTCGCCTAAGTCCCCGACCAAGCCCATTGCTGGCTCGAGTCTAAGGTCGGCCTATGAGTTTGGGCGTCCCCCATTCATTTGAAAGTCGAGGAGGTTCACTCCAACGACTTATGTAATCATAACATAACATTGCATTTCATTCATTCATTCAATACATTTCAATCATTCATTTGAAATTAGAACGAGTGCGGTAAAGTACGCACCCGCCCTTATCTTTAAAACTTCCAACAATTACCACAAATAAGCAAGTATCACAGATTCACACACTTGACACTCACCGAGCAATTCAATAAGAATTATTTTCTGGGAGTTCAAGTGTCTACAGTAAGATCCTCTTGAATGACTTCTTGCGCGCCTGGCAATTAATAGCGGATAATCACACAAATAACCCACTTGTCAAGGAAGATTGTACACTAGTACAATCTAAGGAATATTTCACAAAATGAACCTCAATTACTCGTAAATCGAGGTTCAACTTGCCTTTTATTATGTACAATATTATTTGAGTTTTTATCATGAAAAGTGAGGGCAAAACGTTTGAATAATACTAAGAGAATTAAGAGTTTTGGAAAAACTCCTTTGCCTTGAAAATTGAAAAATTTCAGTTTTATCCTAAATCTTTGAAAATTCGTATCTCTCTCGATATAAGTCCAAAACTGGAAAACTTTATACCGTTGGAAACCTTTTGGAAAGTGTTAAAAGTTCTTAGAAGACACCTTTCCATGAATCTAAGTGGAAAGTACTCAAAAATGAGCTTGAAGATACAGACTCGGCGTACAAGGCAGAATTAAGTTGGATTTCGGCCAACTTTGAAAATTCGGCACGATTCACACATTGCAAACCGGCCTCTGAAATTTGTAACTCAATTAGAGTTGCAAGTGAGGTTTATAGGAAAACAAGCGGATCAAGAATCGGAGTTTCGAGTACCGAGATACAGTAGCTCAAAGTTGAAGAAGATTCAAGACTGAAGAAGAATTTCCAGTTTTGAACCTCCAACACTAGAAATTTAATTCGGTATCGAAACGAACTTGAATTGATGCCAAAATTGGCAGTATTTTACTCCTATATGCAAGGTATTTCTCTATCAAATTCCAGGGAAAAATACCCTCGGAAAGATAGTTAACTAATCATCCAAAGTTCCGGAAAATTTCTAAGGCAATCTGCCTTTTGACTTTCATTTCCCAATTTCAAATCGTTTAACCAAGAAAGCTATCCAACCATGGTTCATTGGTGAAATAAAGGTCTAAGATACATCCATGATACTTTTGGTAATGGTTTAGCATCAAAATTTCAATTAATAAGATCACTCCCAAGTTTTTGTCCCACATCAGTCCAAATACTACGTTTTTCCAAAACAGGGCAGTCCTCTTGTTTTGGTCACAACTCAATCAATTTAACTCGGAATGAGGCATTGTTTATGGCGTTAGAAAATACATTCATAGGACTAAAAGTTTACAGAAGAAAACGTTCTGAAATTTGGCAAGCAACCAGCTCAAAATTGAGCCTCAAGTTGCTGCCTCTACAAACCATTCCAGCAAATCCGAGAGACAGGACAGCTATCTTAAAACATTTGGTTCGGCTCACTCACAGAGAATCAGAACGTGCATTTTATCTCAAATTAAAGCCAGGAATGTCTAGTTTCAAACGCTACCAACGGCACTTGATTTCGACACCCGAGGACAGAGTTATGGTCAAAATGCTACCGCTGGACAGGGTTACCCGAAAATAACTTTCCAGCTTGCCTAGTCCACGAATAAATTCATTTGCCCATCCAAACGTTAATGTTTTCCAACGAAAATTTTTACACATATAATATAGCATATAAACATCAGGTTCATGCCAATAAATCACCAAAAATTGGCCTTATCATGGCCGAACAAAACAGGGGCAGTTTCAGAAATTTCTTGTCAAGACCTCTACTTTGAGTTTCCAACAATAATACTCCATAAATCCATCATTATAACCATTAAACTACCATTAAATCCAACATTAATCCTCTAATCAGCAACAACAACCCAAGTGTGGGAATACAAAGAGCCCACTATCACGTTTTACAACCATATCAAGCCACCCATCCACATGCAATAGCTTAAGGATGCATTTCTACCATCATAATCCAAGTTTAAGGTGTAGGATGAAGTTATACCTCCTTAGTGCCTTAACCCAGAAATTTTCGGCCCTCAAGAGCTCCAAGAAACCGTGAAAGGCAGCCCTTTAGTTAGCTAAATTCAATCTCCAAGTAGTTTGCTAGATGATCTTCAAGTTTGGTGAAGATTGGTTGAGGTTTTGGGTTGATTTGATGAAGGATTTTGTGAAGCAAGAGAGTGAGAGAGAGAGAGAGGTTGGCCGGCTGCTTGGTGAGAGAAGATGGAGTGAAGTTTGATCAAAATTAGCTTCCAAGAGAAGATTAAATGAGTGGTGCACATTCACTCCAAAGTCAACTCTTATTAGGGCTCGTTTGGCACGTTTTAGGTTCGATTTCTCGCGCGTTTGGTTCACTAGTGCACTGAACCTCCAATGCATTTATATTCATGTAAGTATTATTCACTCTTAATTGTCCCGAAATAAGGGTCTAAAGTCCCTCAAATAAAGTCGCGCGTGTGAAAACGCGTACCTTCAGTTTTAACGCTATAACGCGAAACTTCCAATAAATTCTTATAACGATTGCACTACTAACTATCACTTGAGTATTTATTCATAAGATTACCTATTTTAGGACCATAGTACAAGTCTCTAATATTCCAAGGTTATTGTGCTATTACGCGGATAAAATCTCCAAGTACTATTCACTATTTTTACTAAACGTACTCCAGGAAATTAATTTTTAGAACGAGTCACTTTAAAAATATAACGAAGTTATATTACCATGTATTTAAGTCTAATAAGACTAGAAAATATTCCTTGGGATAAAATCCAATTAAATAATTTATTAAGCCATGAATTAGGCATAAAATAATAGTTTTTACGAGTCCTCACACTGGGCACTAAGGGAAAGAATGTCAACTAATCCATTACAGGACCAGGCTATTGCTGTGAAATTGGCTCTACTAAATGCGATCAACCAAGGCTTGAGGACTATCAAAGTGGAACTAGACAACATGGAGCTGGTGGAAAACATAAAAGGTTCAAGACACAACAATCAAATTATGGTTACTCTAATAGAAGACATCCAGTTCATAAGTAATTTGTTTCACAAGTGTTCTTTCTCTTTTGCTAATTCAAGGAAAGTAGGTAGTATTAAATTGAGCTTGCATGCTCTAAACATCTGGTTAGATGAAGAATGGATGAATCCCAATCTTAGGTGTTAGACATCAATGATTTTGTAGGACGGTTGTCCTTTTGATTGGATCATTGTCTAATACTCTAAAGTTTTACAGTAATATATAAAGCTAACGTTTCGACAAAAAGAAAACATAGTCCCGTTTGCTAAATGACTTTTTTTGAATATTTATTTAAAATTTTACTATAATTTAATATAGAAGTTGTGAGAAAAAATTTTTAGGATGGAAAATTTTTTTTTCTCTTTCGTTTTCTTTCCTTCTTTTTTCTTTTCTTTCCTCTATCCTTCTTCTCCCTTCCCCCTCCCCTCTCCCTCCCCCGCCACCTCTCCTTCTTCCGGCTGGAACAAGCAGCAGCAGAAATATAATTTTTTTTGGCCTTTTTCTCTCTCCCCTCTTCCCCCTCTCCCTCTCTCTCTACCCTTCTCCTCCCCCTCCCTCCCCCTCCCATAAGTGAGTTGGGAGGGTTAAAGTGGGTGCAGAGCAAAGGGTTCGGTGTGATTGGGGGATCCCTTCTCTCTTGTCCTTCGGCTATTCTGTCGTTTCTGATTCGTCCCCTTATCATTTCCGCTCCTTCTCAGCGGTTTGCCGGCGAATACCTATAACCACGCCTTCCCCACGGCGAATACCTATAACCACGCCTTCCCCATAGCAGGAGCAGATTTTCCCCATCTGAAACTGCAAACGATACCCTTTGTTCCCAGGTATCCTCCTTGCTGTCATCACACACACACACACACACACACACACACACACACAGTCTTACTTACTTGCTCCACTCTGCAATATCAATTCATAACTGGATATATTGGTGACTGCGGATCAGTTTATTGCTTGTATTTCATGCTCTTTTTCGACCATTGTTTAGCTATAAAAGCTTCATTTTCTCTTTTCACTGTTTCACATCTGCCTAGCAAGTGTTTGATAATTGTTCTATGTCAGTGTTTACTTCCATGGCAGGAAAAGCTGCAGTGAAATCTGTGGTGAAGTCAGTTGGCGAGGGAGGGGGGGTGAGGAGGAATGCGAAAAAAAAAAGAGAGGTGGCGGTGGTGGTGGTGGGTTGAAGTGGAAGAAGAAAGGAGGAAGGGAAATTTTGGGTATTTTGAAGTGTATATTTTAAGAACTTTGGAGAAGTTTTTTAAAGTTATTGTAGGAGACAAACTTGCTAAAAACTAGTAGGAGACAAACTTGGCAAAAACTCACTTTGCCAAACATATTCTGACCAAAATTAGGTTATGCTGTTTTAAAGGCAAAAACAAATATCTATATCTGATTACATCATCTCCACAACAAAAGTGACACATAAATTTTAGTGAATCATGTGACAGGCATAAAAGGAAATTCCCTGTAACAGTCAGGACCTTAAGCCTAAATTTTCTGAGTATGATAAATATTTCTTGTGTTTTAGATTGGCTATCGTGGTAAAGTAAACCGGTATCTAGGTTGGGGTTTTTTTTGGGGGGGGTGGGGAATCTGAATCTCAAGAAGATTTGTATAGCTTCTCTCTCTTACCTGCTGCTTTGTTTTGAACCATAGTGGTGGTTCTCCCTCCTTGCCTTGATGAAATCAGGAAAAGTGAGTGGTTGATCAAAGTTGGCATGGAGCTAATTTTTTAGTTGTTGAAGCTTTGTGATTACCTCATGATTTTTGCTGTATATATATAAAATTGGAAATCTATTGTCCATGTGGTATTTGAGCCCTCTTTTCTTATTCATCTCCTTTTCAATTTTATAGTTTCTCTCTTACCTGCTGCTTCGTTTTGAGCCATAGTGGTGGTTCTCCCCCCTTGCCTTGATGAAATCAGGAAATTTGAGTGGTTGATCAAAGTTGGCATGGAGTTTTTTGTTTATTAGTTTGCTTTGTTCTTCCATCTCAGGATCGCCCTGAATTCCCCCTTCTGGTCAGATCTCTGAAACAGTCCCAAGATCTTTTCTTTCTTTTGCTAGTGCCAACTAGGCAAGATCACCTTATCTTATCACTCAAGAAAAATCTAGGATTTCCAGAACTGTTTTTCATGCATAGAAATGTATTTTTATGTTAGTATTCTGTTTGGTAATTACTTTTGGCAATTAGTATTCTAGTTTTCAGTCTTTGACTGAACAATGAAGCATTCTGATTTGATTCTTAAGTGTGAATATGGAAGCTTTCTGATTTGCTTCCATTTTGGTTGAGAGTCTTAATTGAAAATCAGTCTAGAAGTCTATAACTAATGTACTTCCCCACAAAGAGAAAGAGAAAGAGAGCAAGAGAGTAAACACTAATGAAAGCTTATTGCCGTCTACACGTTGCGTGATGCAATCCACCCTTGGGTGTGATGCCTAAGGTTTCTAGGAGTGATTTTTAGAGTTCCTAATCTGATCTCCTTCTTGCGTGTCTTTTCTGTGAATTTCATCATGTTCTCTCTTCTAAGTCTTTATGATCTTTTACAACTATGAACTTTGTAGATTTTTTTTTTGTACGATTTTTAAACCGAGAATCAATTCTACAATCTGTTGGATCTAACATCAGCTTCTGCTGCATTATCTACATCATTGAATTTTTATGAATGTGTCCTGCTAATATTAATTAACTGTACGGACCATTGAGCTAAAGAAGCGAGGGGAAATGTGGTGAGTGGGAAGAAAAAAATATCTTGGCATTTGCCTTATTATAGTGGCATCAGCAATTTGAAAAGAAAATTATAAACAATTTTAGTTTTTCCCTAGACATTGAAATAGTTTGCAGCATCTTTAACATATGAAGAACTCGTAAAGTTCTTTACAATTACTTGTTTTCAGGGAGACTATCTACTGTATTTGAGTGTCATGGTGTGTTATTAAGTATTACGAAATGAATGCTCAGTCTTAAAGTGTCTTCAATGTTTTCCTATTAAACAAAATTATTGAACTAAAAGGGCATTTTGTTTGATATTATTAAAGCATTTATAGTGTTATGCTAACAAAGAAATAGTTGTAATGAATGTGCCATCAACAATTTGCGGCAAATGGTAGCTTGGTCTCTTGTTTTCTTAAGTCATCAATGAACGTGGTATTCCGGATGCAATTTGCTTCCTCGAGTTTATCAGGTTAGTAGGGGAAATTGCTGGAACAAGAGGAAGCCAGTAGATTCATAGACCTATATGATTATACTTTTCTAGATGGTAGAGATTATGATGACAAGACTTATATAGCATATACTGGTGCTATGTATTCTCATTTGTTATCTCTCCTTGATTATCTGTGCTAGCGATTTGGTAGGGTCACGATCACTGTATCATAAAGTGACAGTATTGCATGGTGAAATTTTGACTTAATCCTTTTCTTTTGGATCTTGAAATCTGCAGTTTTTTAGCCTTTTGGAGCGTCTATATGTTTTATTGAGTTAAAATTACCGCCGAGCTTGACTTTTGCCTTGCACTTATCTTTCAGGTCTGTCCTGCTTCGTCCTTGTTCATCTTGATGAAGACTGTGAGTTCAGCTCCCTAGTTTCAAATGTTAATGCTTATAATTACATCTTTATCAACCTATTAATTTTTTTTTTTATGCATCTGAACTTCCGCCTGCAGACTTGTCTGAGTGAGGGTAAGGGTTATCATTTCCCACCCTGCCACATGCTAAACATAGGTGGTTTTCAGCTATTATTCGACTGCCCTTTAGACCTTTCTGCTCTATCGGTCTTCTCTCCTCTTCCTACGAATTTGTCTAGCTTATTTGATGAATCTGTTGGTGAATGTACGTGTGAGGCTTCTTCAATTTCAGATTGTGGCTGGAAAAGGAAGCAAAAAGTAGATAAATCTCTTGACACAAGCAGTTTAATACATGCCGAACCTTGGTACAAAACTGTGAAGAGTTTGAAACTCTGGAATATTTCATTCATTGATGTTGTACTGATCTCTAGTCCAGTGGGCATGCTAGGATTACCATTTCTGACCAGAAACAGAAATTTTTCTGCTAAGGTGAATAAGAATGACATGCTTTTACATTTTGACGTCTTAACTCTCATATTTGCTAGAATTCATTGTGACTGATTTCCTTTTTATAATCGGGTCAGATATATGCTACTGAAGCTACTGCAAGACTTGGACAGCTTATGATGGAGGACCTTGTTAAAATGCATAATGAAATCAGGCAATTCTATGGGCCTGAAGAGTCTACTTGCCCAGAATGGATGAAATGGGATGAGGTGGAATTGCTTCCTTCTGCAATTAGAGAGATACTTTGGGGCAGAGATGGAGACCTTTGTGGTTGGATGCCATTGTACAGGTAATGCTACTTAATATATACCATCAATGTTATTTGAGCTGATTCATCAATTGCAAAGTTATAGACTGGTGATTGTACTCTCTTTTTTGAATTGGGGATGTCAATCTAGACTGGACATTTCCCTGTAATTGCACTGTGGATTTGGGGACTTGAGGTTGCAATAATTTCTGCTTCTCAGTGTCGCTGATGTGAAGGGTTGCATGCAAAATGTTCAATCCCTAAAATATGCTGAAGAAGCCTGCTACAACGGCACCTTGTTAATAAGGGCATTCAGCTCTGGTTTAGATATAGGCACTTGTAACTGGAGTATTTCTAGTCCAAAACAAAGGATTGCATATCTTTCAAGCTCCATTTTTGCATCAGCAACAGCAACAGAAATTGACTACAATCCTCTGCGTGGAAGTGATGTGATATTATTCTCAGATTCGACAGCATGTGATGCACTAGACAAGCTTGAGAATGAAGATGATGGATTCAATCCAGCAGATAAAAAAGCTTCAAAGTTCAGGTAACTCAAATTTACTTTCTTCAACGGTGTTCTTTGTGAGATGCTCAAATCATCCTAAATAACTGCACTTTATTGCAACTAAAATTATGGGTCTATATTTTGTTGTCTCTAGTTTCACGTGATTCACTCATATGGTAAAATCCAGGGCACTGACAATTTCCATTTGCAGTTCAAAAGATGATGACAAAGAAAGCTATACTGAATTTTTGCAAAACGAGGACAAGTTTGCAGAGGAGTTGGAGAAATTGGCTTTCCTATGCTCATGTTCTTTGGACTCTGTTAAAGCTGGAGGCTCAGTTCTGATTCCCATTGCACGGCTTGGAGTCCTTTTGCAACTATTAGAATGTATAACATTGTCTCTGCAGTCATCAGACTTGAAGGTATTTCCACTTCTCATTTTATAGTAAGGAAACAGGAGTTGCTTTTTAGAGATACGTTCATCTGAATAATGTTTCTGAGAAGGTTGATTGCACTTGATTCTAGATCTCTGTTTAGAAGAGTATCTTAAATAATGTAGTTGTATTCTCTGTTTCACCTTTATAGGCTCTTGGCATTGAAAAATGAGGGTTTAAGATACAACTAATTTGTTGGTTGATTAACTGCATGTTTCACGTCTATGTATGAGGAGAGAAAAGTTTTAGTTTTGTACGGCAATTGCTAATAGATTTTGGTGCCAACGTGGAGAATGAATCTTTAAGTGATTTTGATGGTTGTTTCTTTTACTATTTATTGTTATGCAAACAATTATCAAGATGCAGATTTATGGCTAAACTGTTACTGGGAGCTGCAAAATGTCAAATCTATTTATGAAGTTCTGGTACTGTGGACATGCTTGTGCAAATGCTAATACATTTCTTTCAGGTTCCCATCTATATTATTTCTTCTGTTGCTGAAGAGTTAGTTGCTTTTTTAAATGTTATACCTGAATGGTTATGCAAGCAGCGGCAGGACAAGGTATTTCAGTTCAATATATGTTTTGAAAACTGCTTATATTCATGTAAAGAACAATCAAACTGTGTTTTACCTCCCTCCCTCTATTTATCTGTGCAGTTTTATTCTGGTCAACCACTGTTTGCTTTCATGGATCTCTTAAATGAGAAGCGGCTCTTTTTGTTCCCTGTACTTCATTCACCCGAGTTACTGTAAGATACTTCTTCTTTAGATGCTTAAAGCAGTATCTATGTTGGAAATGTTGAAGTTCAGTTGTCAAACTGAAACATCTTGGAGTTCTTTCAATAAGATGCTCTGCAAGGATACGGTCCATGTTTTAATGAGGATGGCACTATTGGAGCTGCCCTTACTCAAACTTCTCTCTCTCTCTCTCTCTCTCTCTCTCTTGTGAATAGGTCAATTTGGCATGAACCCTGTATAGTAATTTGTCCTCATTGGAGTTTACGGATTGGACCTGCTGTCCATTTGCTCCAACATTGGTGTGGTGATAAAAATTCTTTACTTGTAATGGAGGTGCAGCTTCGATTTCTTAGTCATCTGACCTTCTGTTACTGATTTGCCAAGTAGGATCGTTACTTTGTCTGATTTTTTTCTTTTCCCTTCTTTGTGAATGATGTGCAGGAAGGATTCAATGCAAATTTGGCCTTCTTGCCTTTCAAGTCAATGGAAATAAAAGTCCTTCAGTGCTCGTTTCTTTCTGGAATGAAGTAGGGAATACTTTATTTGATTGTGTTGCTTAACTAAGGGATAAACAATCTCTTGCGCTGCAAGTTCTTGATTTTTCCCCACCTATATTTATGGGTCAGAAGTTTTGCATTGGTGGTTCAGCTGCAGAATAGATGATCTTAATGTTTGTTTGGTTGAATAAGAGGCATTTTCAGATGAACATAAATGGGAGTTCTTAAATTTCTGTAGGGGATAATTTTGAATAGCAAAATTGGAACTTCAAGTTGGCTAAATATTTGCCTCAACTTCATGTTTCATTATCACATATGTCTAAGGGTTCATTCCCCTGATTATTGAATTACATGTCTGATTTGTATTTCTTTTGGCCTTACAGTTTCCGGAAAGCTGAATTTTTACTCAAACTGTTGAAGCCTAAATATGTGCTGGTAAACTCAAGACCTTTATTTGCTCTCTGTTTTCTTCTGCTTCAGGAATGCCTCCTTTGGTGCCTAATAAATCTTATTCTAGCATTTTGACTACTGTAATTTTCCTGCTGGAGACAGTTCCCTGAGAAATTGAAGCAGGGCAAAAGCTTTGTGAATCAGTCATTTTCAGTCATTTACTACCTTGAAAATGAGACAGTGAAAGTACCTAAGTTGAAGGATAGTTCAGAATTAGACATTGGTATAGACTTGGCTTGTCAGCTCGGTTATACAAAACTGGAAAAGGAAGAAATGAGTATTGCTCGATTGAAAGGAGAGCTCCTTGTGGAACAAGGCAAAAATGTATTGTTTAGTGGAAAGGAGTATGCTGGTTCCTCAGAAACCAGGCCGCTGTTGTACTTGGGTGGGGTAAACTTGGAGAATTTTCTGACGACCTTGCAAAGCATGGGTATTAATGCAACAGTTGAAGAGGCCATGACCACTGATGGCTCAGATAAGACATCTCTTGTGCATATTTTGGGGCCTAAAAAAGCCTTGATAGAAGTCACAGCAGCACGTACAATTGTTAGCACTGATGATGAGTATTTGTCTGCTCTTATATCTAAAGCCATATGTAACATTTTGAATATTGTTTAATAGAGCATTGCCCTTTATTTTGTTTCTAAATTTGTTCATTTTATTTCAGCTGTTATGAGCTTCTACTTTGGTGTGAAAACTATAATCTCTACTGTACTGCTAACCAACCAGGAATTCAACTTTTTCAAATCGAATTTTTTTTTTTTTCGGGATAATCTAGTTTCACCACCCTCCCTTGAGGTTCTAAAAATATCACTTACCTCCTCTACCAATTATTGGAGCCCAACGCTTGCGTCATAATGGCTAAATAACTCTATTACCCTTATAATTTAGGATAATTACAAATATATGTGAAGGAAAAAGAGTTAAATGTTTGCTTACTACATTAATCATAATTTGAATTGTAAAATGTTAATAAATTTGCCATCCAAAAGTAGAGCCAATATTAGGTTAATCTTTTTTAATTTTTATATACTTGACAAATAAAAGAAATCAAACGTAATGTAGTTGATAAATTAAAGGATTTAGACATGAGAAATAATTAAGATATTTACAAACTAAATTAACCATAATTTGAAATGTAAAAAAGAAAATCTAATTTGGCATCTAAAAATGGATCCAATTCTAGGCATCCTTTTTTCAATTTATGTACTTCATAATTAAAGGAATCAAATATAAATAGTAAGAATCTTATAATTGTGGTGAGAGTAAGAATCTTAAGGTATGGAAAAAAATTGTTTTGTTAACTTTTGAAAGATGTTATTTTTCGTTATGAATGATGGAAATTTTTTATTGACCACGTGTCGTAATGGCCCCATAAGTAAATTAACATCAAATATTCAATCTAACTAGTATAATAGTTGAGTGGCACTTTTGGCATAAATAAATCTTCTCACACCTTAAATTAATTTTTTTATTATTTGTGTTTTTTGAATTGGGCTAAATTGTTATAAGAAAATTGGTTTCAAGAGAAATTAGTGATATTTTTAGAACCTCAGGGGAGGGCAGTGAAACTGTCAAAAATCTCAGGGAAGTTTCTAAAATTATCCCTTTTTTTTTCTACGTGTTTTCCACCCTCTTTCCTAACTCTCCTCTTTGACACAGGAAGATGGATGATACATATATTCTCCTATTGGTAAACTATTATATAAAGCAAAATCTAATAGTATTTCTTCCTCAAAATCAAGCAAAGGATATTGTTCAAAAAATAGAATTACCTAGCCATGTATTTTTGGCAGAAGATTAGCATTGGGGATGACTTCCTAAATACAAGTTGAGACAACCATGTAGACCACTTTGATTGCTGTATTATTGCAAAAACGACTAAATTTGTTCAATTCTGATAATGGCATGGTGGATGCAAATTTTTTTTTAACTTATTTACTTTTGAAAAAAGCCCACTGGGTGCTGATGAGAAATAGGAAGTGCACAAATATGCTCAAATGATTGACGTCAAACAAGATTTCAAGGAGAAATGCAGTTTTACAGTATTAGTCCCTCATATTTAGCTTATGTGCAGAATTGATGCCTAATCTTTCGGCTACAACAAATCCGGTTAAACAAGCTTCTAATTTTAGGCAAATCAAGACAATTGATGAAAATGGAAGGATGCCTAAAGGGTCAAAATCAAATTTATGTTGGTCAAGAGTCTCGACTTAATGTTTTAGTCCTCAATGTTTGAAGTTGATTTCAATATGAGCCTAGTATGTTTTAGATGGTGATTACTTTAATTATTGCGTAAATAGATTTTCTAATAAAAATTGTAATTTGGTTATTTTGAAAGGATTGTTATTTAATGTCTAACATGATCAATTTCTTCATGTCCCTATTTCAAATAATCTTTAGAATAACTTGTCATGCTATGCCACTTTTATTTACATAAAGTGCACTAGATATGATACAAACGTCACCAACCTATGACGAATTGAACAAGAACGAAAATTGACTCAAGAACAAGGATATAACTTGATACCTTCAACCAACTCTAATACCAGCTGATACGAACTCGATCTAACAAGAATCTGTCTTAAAGAACCAAGTCAATCAGGCAGTGGAAGGATCTATTTTGACCAAATTTTGAAACACCACAAGTGGATCAATCAGGCAGAGAATCCGTTTCTAAAAACCTAGTGGATTAATTATTGGTTTGAAAGAATAAGATGACGTGATCATCTTGCCTTGAACACCACAAGTATCCAAACTAAATTTAATACATGTCAAAAAGAACCTCACGTTCTATCAAGAAACTCCATAACAGGAGAACAACTCACTTTTATTAATTCATCTCTCCTAGTGTCTTACAATGGAATAGAAGAAACCTATTTATAACTAAAATCTAAACTACTAAGACTAACTCAATTTTGTAAGGCTCGAAAACAACCCTTTTCTAGGCGACCACACAATGGAGCAGTTGATAAGAAAGCACAAGTGCTTGTGAGTAGAAGAGATAAACAATTTAAAGATCATAAATGTAACAATAAGTAAAAGGAAAGAATTGCAAACCAATTAACTACCCAACTCCTCTTGAGCTTCAAACAAGCTACTTCAAATTGATGAATTACAATCACTCTTGTGTACAAAGGAAGGTTCACCTCCTCCTTGCCCCGAACTCCCTCGGTCAAGCCAGGACGTTTTACTATCCCTCAGGACAACCCTCACAGAGCTACACTCATGAAGTATTCACTCACAAATGAAAAGCTTACAATGAACCTCACACCACTAAGACTACAAATCTTCTTTGAAGAGTATTTTCTCACTAAAATCTCTCTAGATCTTTTGTATCTTCAGTGTGCCAAAGTTGTTTTAAGTATCTGACCAACCACTATTTATATAGGACCAAGAAAGTGTCTCATTAATACTTCCAACGGATAGAAAGTAGCTGAACAGTCAACTATCCGTTGGCAGTATCGGACGTCTGATAGCCCTGTTTTATGCGTCCGACAGCATGCAGAGAGTTTAAGACTTTTTCTTCAATTCTTTCGGACGTCCGAAAATACTTAATGGTTGTCGGACGTCTGATACAGTCTTTTTGAGCGTCCGACAGCTTCAGCATACTTTGTCTTCTTTCAATTGCACTTGATCTTTGGAACTGATTTGCTTCATAACTGAATAGATCTTTGAAGAGATATTAGTAACATCCATTTGTTTTGTAAACATCAAAAGATAGGGATCAAGATCAACATTCTCCCCCTTTTTGATGATGACAAAACAATGGATGGAAGGAAGGAAAAAGATTGAGCATATGAGCATAAACTCCCCCTCACTCATTGCAACCAAACTTATAATTTCAGAATAACTCCCCCTAACACATAGCATCCATTTCTCCCCCTTTTTGTCATCATAAGATGAGAGTAATAACCAGCAACCATAATCCAGCAACAATAACAGAGTATAAAAACAGAAAAATGACAGCAATCACCAACATTTCACAGAGAATTTGATATCAAAAGAAGTATCAACATATGACAGAGAGTTTTAACAAAGCAAATCATCTTTAGATCAGAATTGTTCTTTTCTCTCCCTTTTAGACATCATACAGATTCAGAAAAATTCAAAAAACTCATATCAAAGTATTAGAAATATCAAAAAAATATTATGAACAAGAATCACTGCAATGATTAACAAAGTCTCCTACTTGTTAAAGTTAACATCATGTCTAACTATCTACATGCATTTCATACCTCTTCTCATGTTCTTTCTAACATAACAATCACTTTTCATATGACCTTTTTGACAACAGAAATTACACATCATCAAGGAGTTATTTACATGAACAGGTTTAATAAATCTCACTTGTCTTCTCTTATAAATAGCAAATTCGTTGGAATTAGAATTCAACCTATTCTTTTGAAAACAGACTTGTTTCTTGTGTTTAAGCAACTCATTTAGACCATCCATTCTTCTTTTCAAATCACCTTGTTCCTTTTTGAACAATTCACAAAGTTTTGCTTTTCTATCAAGCTCAAAGTGTAAAGCAGTCTCACTCTTTTTGAAGTAATCATTTTCAGCTTTCAACTTTTTATTTTGTTAAAAAAGATTTGCATTATCTCGAAGCACAAAATTAATTTTCTGTTTTAACTCCTTGTTTCTAGCATAAGATTCTTTCAAACTATCATGCAATTTTATAATGAAAGATTCAAGATCATCATCAGTTTCATCATCACTTTCAAATTGAGAGTTAGAAGATGTTACCTCGTCATTTCCAATAGCCATAAAAGTCAATTGAGCAGATTCTTCTTCCTCTTCAATATCACCATCGGAGTTGCACTCATTCCATGTGAACTGGAAGTTATTGAATCTTGATTTTCTTTCACCTTTTCTCTTCTTCATTGGACACTCACTTGCGTAGTGTCCAGGTTGGCCGCATTCAAAGCACTTATCAGTTTACTTTTTGCTGAACTCTAGCTTCCCTTTGTTTCTTGAGTTGTTGAACTGATTTGGGAATGAATTGCTAGATCCATCTTTTCTGAATTTTCTCTTGTTGAGTATTTGTTTGAAACTTCTTGTGATGAGTGCAATATCATTGTCATCACCTTCTGCATCTTCTTCATCTAGGGAGGCAGAATCATCTTCATCTTGAGATGCCTTTAGAGCAATGCTCCTTCTTACTTTCGCATCCTCATCCTCTTGCATTTTAAGCTTCAGTTCATAAGATGTTAGAGAATTAATAAGAGATTCAATAGGCATGGTATTCAAATCTTTAGCCTCCTCAATAGCAGTCACTTTATTTTCCCAATCATTGGACAAGGCATTCAGGATTTTTCTATTTTTCTCACCAAGAGAATATTCTTTTTCTAGCACCTCTAAATCCTTAATGAGGTCATTGAATCTACAATACATCTTATCAATGTTTTCATGAGGTTGCATCTTGAAAGATTCATACTTTGTAACTAGAATGGACTTCTTTTGTTCTCTAACATTCTCACTGCCTTCATGAATTTCTCTCAGTTTATCCCAAATTTTCTTGGCTGACTTGCAGCCCTTGACTCTAATAGATTCATTTGAGTCTAAAGCACAAAATAACACATTCATGGCTTTTGCATTTAAAGTGAGATGAGCTCTATCCGCAGCAGTCAGTTCACTTCTTGTTT